AAGAGGGATATCATCCATTTTTTGCATTGACATGAAGATGAATCTAGTCTATCCATTTTCTTCAAGACACCATGGGGACCAAAGAAGCAGATACACAGACACAAAATATAACATCAAAGACCACAGGAGGCATTCTGAATAGCTGTTATATATTTTGGGGGAAGACTATAACTGCTGGTGTATAAGTACAGTGGGCTACAGTTAGGTACACAGCACCCACAGATAAGATACTCTTTCAGACACTCCTGCAAAATTACTTTTGCAATGTCTGGCAGTCAGCATTAAACATAGGGTGACCTGGGGCAAACACTTCTAAAGTTAACAACCAAAGAACCAAAGCAGCTGTCAGGGGATGCTTTTATGTATTGGGGAGCCTCCAACGCTGTTCAGATACACTAAAGATTACATAATGGTGCATAGGATGGCCACATAGAAAAGAGTTGCATACTCCTGATCAGATTAATCCAAATTTTCTTCCAACCAATCCATAAGAAAACCAGTATAAAACTCAATGCAACTTGATTTCAGTTATCCACCTTCATTTCTTCAGATGAGGGAGGAAGAAAGAGAGAATCCAAAGTCCACTGACCTTCCCATTTATTATTCCTCTTTATAACAAGCTGTCTCAATAGGTTCCTATTGGAAACAAGCTGAACTCCCTACTACAAGTTTATTGGGATAACACTAAACATGATACGGGAATATGAATTCATAAGTAACCAGTATCTTGCTGAAGAAAAGCTCTGAATTACCATTTTTCCCTTCTAATAATGATTTAAATTATTTCTGCTACTTAACTTTTAGAGACCCTAACAGGTTTCATCACCAGATACAGATTGGCAGCCTTAATCTAAACAAACTCAGTGACAGCACTGTTAGAGCTCATTAGTGTTCTCACCAGATGCTTCTGTCTGTATATATAAGCATCTCCAGTTTTTTTTTCCAGTACATGACCCATGATACCAGCATAGCTTTCAAATTAAGACAAGAAATCTCAGTACAGCTTCAAATTCTTGCTCTTCTGGGGATTAAATCTGTGCAAGGCTACGACAAAGCATTCCATATTTCTTGGGCTTCTTAAAAGCATTTTTTTGTTGTTTTACAGATCACTTTAGTGATTTTTTGGCATTTCTCATGAATCTATACAGCTATGACTAACACACGCTATTTGCTTTCACAGCAAAAGTGCAGAGAGCATTTGTCGCTATAAATATCACACAGGACTATATACCCAGATGAAACCTGTGCTTCGTCTGTCTCTGCACAAAGCAATGCTTTGACATGAAAGCTGTCAGAAATCATTACAGGGAAGAATTTAAAAACCTCATACATTGATTAAGTTGCTGCAGCCAAAGTATCATAAAAACAAGTTACAACCCAGCTCTGTTTTTTAAATGAATGAAAAATTAGAGGGCAGGGAGGCCAAATATGTGGGCTTCACAAAGAATGTCTCCTTGAATCTGCAAAGCAGGCCCGATCAGATCTCATGGTTAGTTTATTGGTCTATCGGCACTTAACAAGAAATGAAGTGGTGGCAACAATCTCAGCCCCAGCTCATCAGTCACATAGGTACAAAGCATCCAAATGGAAAACAGATTTTCTGATTCTCTGCACCTCCCTAGAGACCTGCACTGCTGTCTGAGGACTACAGCATTCTCCTTTCTTGGCTCATTTGCAAGATAAACATATTCTGGCCTCAAACGCTGCTCCCTTCCAACTGCTGGTGAAAACTCCAGTCAGTCTGAGAGATTAAGAGGATGATCTAGGGCACTACTCAATCCAAGAAAAATGCTCATGTGGGAACGCAAAGCTGTCGTTGTGAGCAGAGGGCGTTTTTTCCACTGGATCTCATTCTGCAAGTCTAGATTCAAATACTTGCTATCTTTATTCTTTATCCACACTAACTTCCTTCCTTTTTTTTTGTTTTAAAAGGGAGTCACACACCTGGATTTAAACATTTTTACAGTACTAGTTAAACACTGTTTTTCTGCACTTATGATGACTTAAGATGCGATTGAGACAGCCCTCATACCCAGGCAACGCTGGGCTGGATCAGTATGTAGTTTTAACACTTCCAAACACCTGCAGGAAGCAGCATTAGTGATCAGATAGATAGGACTTTTCTTAACAACCCCATCTGTAAATTTATAGTTCCTTATAGTTACAAGATACCTTGTGAGAATCTTGAAGGAGCTGGTAGATCAGCCCCTACCCTTGCAGGCAAGCTCCACTTCAGCTCTTGCTCTCTGCCTATCTGCGTCTGCAGTCTCTTTTGATCCTTGTTCTAAAACTGACATACAGTGTTCCCAAATTTTTTAAGCATTCACTGACTTCTAACCCAAAATCAGCTGCATTTCAGCACTTGGAGCAGCTGTCCTTCCATGCTCCTCATGGTGCCTCAGATGGTAATGACTGAGCCCTAAAATCATTCTTACAGCAAGCTTTAAAACACTAGTGAAAGACATCAGGGAAACTGCAAGTTTTGATAAAATTATTAGTGCTACAGTCAGATATCAAGTCCTTAGTACTTCTTCCCCTCTTTGAACTCAATTCAAGACGTATAATTTGAGCGCTGGTTAGAAGCTACAACAGGAAAAGGACTAATTTACTCTGTTACAAAACCCTTCCTAAGCAAGATATTTAAACCATGCACATTAACAAACACAGACTTTTAAAGCTGAAGAACAGATTAAATTATCACAGTGACACAGGGACAAATTTTTAGTTGCTATAAAGGCATGTAATTTCATTGACAACAGTGGCTAGAACAAACTTTGTCTAACTTATGTCTAGAGTTGGCCAAAACCCCACAAATCTAGAAACCCTTGAACTTTGGGAAAGCTTTGATCCAGTCCAGACTTTGTGGCTCTGATCCACTTCAGCTGGGAAGGACCCAAATCTGCTTAAAATATATTTCACAACACATCTTTGTCTGCATTTTTTTTCAGATAGGTCATAAATACCACATGTAGAACCATTTCTCCTCATTCACAACACCTATTAGCAAAGCCAGCTATTCCCATCCCCAACCCAGAATGTACAGGATTTTAGATCAGTTGACTTGCTACCAAAGAGCAAGAAGAAAGCTAAGGTACTAAAATATGCACAGTCAGAATGTTTGGAAGAAATTCAGACTGGTGAGAAACTCTATGTGACTTCTACAGTGTGGAACAGCTTGCAAAGCACAAAATGAGACATATTACTCCCTTCTTGTTATCCCCAGAAAAACCAAAGACTCATTTGACTACAGTTTCTAAACAAGTGTATTATGCAAGTCTTTTTTTTTTTTGGTAAGGTGACAGCTTCATTCACTGTAGTAGGAAAGCTGTGATCACAAACCACATAGGAAGGTTGTGGTTTTCAGATGACCTAGCTGGGACTGATGAAACTAAGTAAAATCTAACCAGGGAAAAGGAGTCTGACAAGCTCTTCTGACTTCATTTACCACTGATAATTTAACAAATGAGCTGTTAATAACTTAAATCAAGTACAGCCAGACCCTAGATCCACAGATCATATAATAATTCCAGCAGGAATGGACCTTAGGAGGTCAGACCGGGTTGCTCAGGGCTTTGTCCAGTTGGGTCTTGAAAACTTTCAAAGACAGAGACTGCACAGCCTCCCTGGGCAACCTGTGCCCCTGCCTGACTTGTCCTCCGGGTGAAAAATGTTTCCTTATACCCAATCTGAACTTCTCTTGTTTCAACTTACACTTGTTGTCTTACACATCCCCCACCATGCACCACTGTCAATAGCCTGGATCTGTCGTCTTGATAATTTCTCCATAGCTACTGGGTGGCTGCTGTTTGTTAGGTGCTCCCAAAGTTGTCTCTCTTCGAGGCTGAACAAGCCTGGTCCAGCAGCCGTTCCTCACGAGGCAAGTGCTCCAGCCCCCTGACTTTCTTGGCAGCCCTCTGCCAAACTCGCTCCCATTTATCAATGCCTTCCCTGTATTGAGGTGCCTAAACCGAGGTTCCCTGGTCTAACAAGTGCTGAGTAAAGGGTGCGATCACTTCCATGAATTTACTGCCTGTGCTACTGTTAGTACAACCCAGGATGCTTTTGGCCTTCTTAGCTGCCAGGGCAGATTGCTGGCTCATGTTAAGCTTGCTCTCTACCAAAATCCCCAGGTCCTTTTCCACAGCCTCTATTATTGTCAGGGGCTCTTTCTTCCCATGTGCAGGGCTTCACACCTGTCCTTGTTGAATTTTCCAAGATTTCTGTTGGCCCATTCCTCCAGCCTGTCCAGGTCCCTCTGGAACGCAACACTGCCCTTCAGCATTATTGACTGGTCCTCCCAGTTTGGCATCCTTTGCAAATGTGAGTACACTCCATCACCTCTGAGTCTTCAACAAAGATGTTGAACAGGATGGGTCCCAAGACAGACCCCTGTGCTACTCCAGTTGTCACAAGCCTTCAATTAGAGCAGGAATCATTAACCTCTACCTTCTGAGCCTGATCATCCAACCATTTTTTTACCCATCTGTCTGCCCATCCAGACTGTAACAGTCTATTGGATATAAGAACATGGTGGGAGATACTGTCAAAAGCCTTGTTAATGTCAAGGCAAATGACATCCACTGTTCTCCCCTGCAACGGTAACAGTGGGAGTTCTGGTACTGAACTTCAGGGAACTAGTTTTAACTCTTGGCTCAGGGAAGACAACGGCTGGTGCACACACTCTCAGAAGGAGTATTCTTCTCCAAAACACCTTAAAGTATAGATTTGTATTACTGGGATTCAGTAGGCCAAATCCTTAGCTGCAATAATCAGCCTAGTTCCATTAAACTCAGTCTATATACAGTATTTCATCTCAGCTAACAATCCTGGCTTATTATGTACCTGATATTTGTTGCCTCAACTCTACGTGCAGGTTGCACAGACAGGCCCTAGGAGAGTCAAATAGGAATAGCAAGGGAAACTAGAGAGATGCAGAAATTCCTCAGTTCTCCTGGGAGAAGCACAGATCCACTGTGTTCCTGTGACAGACTTTCTCTTACCTTTGCAAGGAAACTCCATGCTGCATATTGCCCTGAGGTTGTGCTGCTTTTTAGCTTCACTGTGTGCAACATCAGAAAGAATCCCAACAGTCCACTGCAAGGAATGGGGAAAGCTTGTTAATAAAAAGTCTCTTAATTTCAACTAAGCAACCTCTTACAGGCAGCTTGGTTCTCCTAATGCAAAACTGCAGTGTTAATCCTATTTGGAGAAAGAAAACTGGTGGACAAAGAGCTTACATTATGTCCAGTACATCTCGGGTTTTGTTCAGTCAGTGACTACAGTCTGAGTAAAGTAAGTCTGGCGCTCTTATGGCTGGTCTCTAATGCACTTGCATAATCAGAAAAGTAGAGATTATTGGAAACATGAGGTGAAATATTAACTTCAGGCATTCAAATGGCTCTGAATAAAGGCAATGCTAATTTCAACAGGAGCCACATGTGTTTGGCAACCAACTCACTTCAACCTCCACAGAGCCTTGAACTGAAAAAATAACCACTGGAAAGTTTCTGCCTGAAGCTTTCAAGCTGTTTAAACTTCATGAAGCCTAAATTCCAATTAGGAAGTGAAATACATCTCTACTGTATAACAAATAGACAGATGACTCAGTAGTGCTGGGAACAGAATACTCCAAAGCTCTCTGCTGACGATTAAGGGAATTTTGATTCTTAAGTCATATAGGACAGTAGTCCCCAACGTTTCTGTAGCCAAGACTACTCTTAAGGAAACTCTGTTCCACATCTAGCTGGACCTCACAGAGCTTACAAGCTTTGGCTCTGGATTTTGTTTCACTTGTGACATACTTACAACCTACTGGTTGTGAACCAGTGAAATAGTGTAAACCAGCAAGCAGGGAATAGAAAAGGACTTCAAAATATGTAAGGCACAAATTACTGTGTGCCTGGTTGAGAGGTGTAAGAGATTACAAAGTACTGTGGCAAGCTGCGTGGGAAAGGAGATAGAATCAACACAGCATATAGTAGGTGAGGCAAAAAGTGCCTTGGTATTTGAAGAGGGTATGCTGTTCTGGATAGTGATGCAATGCAGTTGGTCACCTCTCTGCAATAGCAGGAAGGGTGGAAGATGGCGGCTCCCCAGGTCAGAAGTTCCATGCTGGACTCCAGCACCTCAGCCAAGTGCTGTTCCCTGCTCAGTACATGTGGCAAAGTTGCGTCTCAGCCACATGTCAGTACAGGTGTTTTTGATACACCAAACAGTAGGGTAAGATAACTGCCCAGGAGTAGGACGTACTACGGTTTCTCACACTGAGCCTTAACATGAGACCCCAAAGGACTATCCACTGTGTCTGGAGCCAAGAAAGCAGATGCTGCTTTGATGATAAAGATAGGCTCAAGCTCGCTCCTTGTTGCAGAGGATGAAGTGCTGAGCAGTAGAGCATTCCACTCTCAGAAGTCAGTGAGTTCAATGAAGCAGCATTGCCCAAACTTTTGAAAGTCCAGTAGCTGGCTTAAGTTTGTTTCCACATCTTCTGCCCTGCTGAGAAGGACTTTTAGTCAGAGTGATTTGAAACTGTTTAGTGTAATTCAGATATAAAAAGTGAAACAGCTAATTGTAATACCTGAAATATTGATGTCACAATTAACACCAATTTATTTCATTAAATAAATGGAGCACTTTGGACCTTACTACTAATGCTTCAGACATTCTGCACAGGTTGTAGATTTAGCTGCATCAGTTACCCTTACTTTACCTTGAATAGGTTTTCCTCCAAATCCTTTATGTCTACAAAGACACTAGACCACAAGATGTAGGAGAGCAACTGAGATGCTTGTTTCTCCACCTAACTATTCCTTTCCAATTGCTGTAGCGTATAGTGCTATCTACTACACATGTACTGAAGCTGGGGCAATGGAAACAGAAGTGGGAGGCTGCAACAGTGGTAAAATTCTAATGAAGTGAAAGAGAAGAATATCTGGGTTAGACAGATATCCATTAGTGCCTGCAGTTAGACCTTGCCTTCAAGAAGAAATAGATTTCACCTACATAGCGTGGAACAACTTATTCATTAATACCTAACTGCAAGTTACTCATAGTGTGGATAGTCCACCCTTGAAAAAAGCTACTTTCGTACCAAGAAACTGTGTACATAGGGAAATTATTTAACAATCATTTTTAATATCCCCTTTTAATGGAAAATTCAGATACAACTAAGAAAATACCTAACAGTCAGGAAATATTTTTGCCATCAGTTAGCAGGAAAATATTTTTTCCCCTCTAAAAAGAAAATAGGCAATTTGGCAAAAGACTGGAGGAGAAAGACAGGAATAACTTTTTTTTTTTTTTGAGATAATTAAGACCTATAGGAAACATATTTACGTTGCCCTGTGAGTATGACACTATTGGGCAGTGAACTTCTGCTACTCAAAATAAAGGAACACTTGTTAAAGCTTTTCCCTTTTACCCAAAAAAAGCATTCTGCCAAATAACAAGATGTACAGGCAAATAAATCCATGTACATCCATATACTGCTGAAGACTAATGCTTCGTAATCATTGCAAACAGCAAGTTTTACAAGGGCTAATCCACTTGAGAAGCATTTGAGAGATGCTATTTATCAAAGCTTTGCTACGTTAGGTAAAAATTATTTTACTGGTGACTGGGAACTTTCCTGATCAGAATGCACTCACTCAAATAAACACATACACTTCCAGCACATTTGAATCTCAGGCCTTCAAATGCATACCCAGAGATATGCACAGATACATATTACCTGCAGTTTTACTGGCTTATGCCAGCAGAAACTAGTATAACTAAGGTTTTGCATGTTCCAAAATTTTTAACTGAGGTAACTGAGAGTCAACAGGATCTCTTATTTTGAAAACATTCACATGTCCTGTTATAGAAAGGTTACCTGGCGCAGCAGCTGCTATGAAACCTGTAGAAGTACAGGAATGGAAAGTCCAAGGCACTGAAGAGATCACCTGAGGGACAAAGCAACATACTCAGTGGTACACAGGGGGGGAAAATTACCCACTGTTACAAGCAGGGGAACAGCAATTATATGAACATTACTAGTTTAACATTCCTTTGAGCCTTTACAGCTGGCTGACTTTTCATTTATGATGCTTTCCACATTTCTAGTGTGTTTAATGATTTCTCTCTGACCTTGCTTCTAGCCAGTTCCCGCCTTTAGTTGAAAAAGGGGAAAGTGATACATGAGAGTATTCTTTGCTAGTATAAAGATCCTGTTTAAGCAACAGTTGCCAGTGGATAGACATGCATCATATCCACTTTTATTACAGAGCTCGTGGTAGTTCCTACTGAAGCAACAGGAACCACAGACATATGTTGCCTGCTTCCCCCTCTGGCATTTGAACTCTGTCACACAGAGCAAGTTGAGAGGTTTAAAAAAGTTCTCCCAGATCCAAGTAGAGCTCTCAAGTACTTGCATTTCCAGGAACCCGGGCCCTGGTTGATCTTGGTAGCAACAATTCCCAGGAGTTCTCTGGCCTTCAGGCTCTACAGATTTGGAGGAAGCTCCATCTTTCACTTTTTGAAATGCAGGACTACTTTGCTTAACACGTCTGTCTATCCTGGTAGGGAAATGGTATATACACAATATGCACCAACAGGCAAAAGGGGGAATTTATGTTTATTTAAATGCTTCTTCTTTTGTTTTTCTGACTGAGCAAATGTCTAGTGAAAGCAACAGATGATCATCTTTATCCTTCTAACTATTAAAACACCAGCATGATAGGAATATTAGCCACCATCAAATTTTCAATTTCTCCATTTTTAGCCTTTGATCTTTTGCTAATTCAAATCCTGCCATGGACTCAAGCGATGGGATACATCTTATGAAAGCAACAAAATTAAATCTCCGCATAGCATTGAGAGCAATGCAGAGAAGGAAACTCAGTTCTATATGGACTTCTGTGACACTGCTCTGAAGAGGACATATTCACCTAGAGAAGCCTTGTTCTGTACCATGCACCACCTCAAAAGCTGATCTTTATTGTCTGTCCCATGCTGCTTCTTTGCAAAGGGCAGCTAAGAAAGGTATTAGTAAATATCATGGAAATTACACAGTGTTATATACCCTACTCTCCTCTTCCTACAGGAGATTATACTATTGGTCATATTCCTGTTGAATTCCAGGGCTAAAATCGTACAGGGTTTGGCCTCTAAAAACATGCATGGAAAGGAAAGGCAATATGGAAACCTAAAAAAGGAACAACTCAATCCACTTTACCTGCTGGATGGGATGCAGAAGCCAACAGCACCACACTAAAAAATAAAAAAAGATTAATTATATACTACAGAATTTATGACATGGCCTGAACATCATAAATTGACAGCTTTGTGTTTGTTTTTTCATGCTGAAACTTATTCCAGTTAAGTACAATAACTGAGGCACAAGTATCAGTTAAAAAAAAAAAAAAAAGTTGGTTGGGAAGGAATCTCTGGGGTCACCTAATACAAGCTCTCACCTGAAGCAGGACTATCACCAATATTTGGTCATGTCCTCTGTGGTTCTGTCTCAAAAAGCCAGGTCTCAAAAACCTCCCAGCATGGAGATTCCATACCTCTCTAGATAACTTATCCCAGAGCCACCCTAGTGAAGAAGTTTTTCCTGATGTCCCGTCTTTAAACCACCAAAGCTGCAATTTATGGCTGTTGTTCCATTTTATACCATCTGCTACTCCTTAGAAGAGTTTGGCTCTGTCATCTTTGCAACTCCCTTTCAAGAAGGTGTAGGCAGTTGTTAGGTTACACCTTGGTCTCCACTTTGCCACTCTCAACCAGAGTAGCTCCTTCAAACTCTCCTTGCAGTATGCCATGTGCTCTAAGTCCCTAACAATGTCAGTAGCCCTCTGCTAGATCTTCAATTTCTCAGTATCTCTCTTGAATGGGGAGGGCCAAAACTGAATATTCCAGCTGCAGCCTCAGCAATGCTCATAATAACTTCTCTCGATCTGATAGACACATTCCTTCTAACATAACCCAATACATAGTTTGCCTTAATTTGCCATGAGCATGCACTACTGCCTCATATAGATTTCAGCATTCACTGTTACTCCCAAGTCCTTTTCAACAGACCTGCTGTTCAGCCAGCTGATGACACCACTGAGACAGAATCTACAGAGAACTGTACTTGTGTCTAGACTTGAGTGTCTTTCTGTCCAAGGATTAATTTCAGCTGTGTGCGTACCGATGTCCGCTTTATAGGGATGTGCATATATTGCATATAAGAGTCAAACACAGAGTATTATGCATGTGATTGTGCAGGTACTGCACATTCATGGCCAAACTGTCAGTTTGAGAAAGGACAAATGCTGCAATGAAACAAGTTTAAAAAACCCCCATGAAAATAAAACCAAGCACCAGCCCAAATGATGCACACTTTTCAGAAAGATACCAGTGAAAAATCAGCTGTGACCAGTTCTTTACCTGGAGTATCACTTAAGACTTCTGAGGTCCTACAAAGACCATCCTCTGAGTTTGCGGTATAGGCTGTACAGAGCCTTTTTCAGTGCTACTGATTCTTCTGGTAAATTTCTGATTTTTTTCCAAATTTTTTCATTCCATGTTGTTTCCAAGGTTAGAAGGCTACAGAAACATATTCTGGCACGCTTTAAGACGGGAGAAGCATGCACATTTCCAAAGCAGAGCTACAGCTTCCTCCAATTACCAACAACATAGGTCCATGACAATCACAAAGGACAAGATGGAGAAGGAGAAAAGAGCATCTGGAGAGGTTGCTGCTTGATAAGCAGCAAGCACTGCACTTACAAAGGTAAAAAGACATTAATGTTATGAATGCTAAAGCTAGGCAATTTTCCCTAGCTAATTACCAGTGATTCTTACAGTTTGCTAAGCCCAGTAATGGCAGTAAAGTGCCAATCCAGCCAGCTGAGGAATGGAAGCCTGCACAATGAAAAGTTAAGGCAGAGAAAGAGCTCGAAGTGGTTCCCAATACACACGGTGACGGCTAGAAAACTGAACTTATTGTAAATGAGCTACCTCCAGTACCTGGAGCAGTACAGTATCATCAGCGTGGTGCTTATACCAGGCCAACTCCCTTTTCCAGCATTAACACAGCCACCGTTTCCAAGCTTGCTTGCTCTCAGCTGGTCCCAGTTCTCTACGTGACCAGGCTACTGCACTGGTGGCCTGCCCTTGGCATGCTTTGGTGAATCCCAGTGTCATTCGCAGAAATGCCAGTAGCAAAGGGAACTGCAAAGAGCATGGGAATCCCATGGCCAGGGAAGCCCTGGGGAGAAGCTTGACACTGAAATCAGCCATGGAAGACAACAGGCTGAAAGAGGAAACAGTTCACGAGTGACAGGCAGGCAGGTGTTTTAGGCTTAACATCTTATACAAAGTCTTTGAAAGGCATCAGCTTGTACAGTATGTTCACGTTGTCAATATTTATATATGTTTTTAAAATATCTTGTCACAAAGATATTAAACAAGGCAAAGCAGGTCACTTACAGTAGGCAATTCCCCCCACCCCTCCTCCCCACATGGGATGCCAAGAGGAATTCACAATAAACAGGCCCAATTCCTCAGTTTCCTGGTAAAGAGAGAAAAGGAAGCAAAGGCCTATTGCTTTTGACTGAATAACATAGAAAACAGAAGACTGGCAGGGCAAGTGAAACTGTATCAACAGTGATGAGAATTATGACTAAGTCATGTTTCTCCACTTCTGTTTTTTGCATTATTAATTTTTAAACAAACAAAAAAAAAACCAGTGAGATTGGGAAATACTCAGAAAGAAACTTCCTTCTGCAACCAAGAGGAATTGATAACCCTACCAGACATCCCAGGCCTCGATCCAAAGAAAACATAGGAGGAAAACAAAACCTTTGTGAAGTGCGGGGCAGGTTAAGGCAAATGGGTTAGATGGCATTAAAGCTGTACTGTAACTCTGCTCAGAACAGAACATCAGTAGAAAAGACACAATGATGTTGTAAAACCAGATTAGGGATTCAGAGGTTTCCAGCAGGACAGCCCGGACATGAGGCTGCAGGAAAAACAAAATCCCTGTGCCGGATTTCTCTGCTCCTCTTTTTTATCTCCGTACTCAATACTGAGGCCTAGGTCACCCGTGGTTTTCTTTCTGGCTAAAAAGAGGTTTTGTCAGCAAGAACAGCAATTTATGCCTGCAAAGCTGCCCTTTCCTTATTGCAGAAAATCTACTGCAGCTTTTTTAATTCACAAAAGTGACAGATTAGCAGCTATTCCAGAAGCCACATGTAGTTTAGCTGCATAGAGTAGAGCCTTTACCTCACACTGTTGTCAGTGACATTTATTCACCATTTGAAACTCTCCCGCTATAAGTCTTTGTTTTCTCCTCACTAGTGACTGCTAGGCTATCTGGCATGCCTTTGTGAATGAATATCAGACAGTTACAGACACTGTGATGTACTGAAACTTTCTTCCAGGTTCTCCACAAGAAGTAACATATCTCGACCTGCCTCAGCATAGGAGAAAGCCTAAGATGAGCCACGACCCACTTCTAAGACACGTTATGTATCCCTCAACATGCCAGGTAGACATTACTACTACCTCCCTCACACTACCCATTGCCAGCTAGCTAGGGGGTAGAAATCTGGCTCCCTCCTTGGTAAAAAGTGGGGGACTGGAAAGGAATAAAAGAAAATGCAAGATTACTGGAAAAACCACTAAGAAGTAGAACACTAATGCAGAAGTCAGAGTGCAGGGAAATACAATACTGCAGTAAAAAAAGGTGGTGGGAAGAAGACTGGAGGATTAGAGGGAGGTTCTTGGAAGTATATTTCCCCTCTTCTCTTCCTCCCCCTCCCTGCCCCACATGCTTATACGCAAGGGAGATGGATGAACAGGATGGGGTTGGGCACTCAGAAGCAACATCACCCCTCCCTTCTCTGCACAGCACAACTCTGCTTTCCCTCCTACAGTTGTTCCTTATCTGGGTCCCTTTTAAAAAGCCATTGAATAATCATGCTGTAAGTGATGAAGTGAGAATAACGCCACACTTTCAACATCAGCAAATATTTCTTCAGATCTGTTTGGTTCTGGAAAGCTCCTGTTCATGTACATTTTTTTAAGATGTTCTCCCCTCCCGAACTGTTCCAGATTTAAAACAAGAAACAGTGCATGGCATGTAGGGACAGCATATGTTAGGAGACTTTGCTAATTTCAGCCACACCTCTGGAAGTATCCAACAGAGCCAATACAGTAAATATTTCTTTTTAATCTAAATATATATACTTTTAATCTAACATATTGGTACATTCTAACATCCAGTAGCTTGGGGCAGAACTTCTAATCTGCTCTATCCACACAGTCTCTACACTCAGAGTACAACTGTGCTTTTGTACCAAACAGAAACACTTTGAACAGCCTCTATTGTAACAAACCTATACACTTTCCTATATTTTCCTACATATTAGGAAAAATTTCTTCACCAAAAGGGTTATCAAGCACAGGAACAGGCTGCCCAGGGAAGTGGTTTAGTCACATGGTGCTTAGGCACATGGTTCAGTGGTGGGCTTGGTAGTGTTAGGTTTGTGGCTGGATGCAATGATCTTAAGGGCCTTTTCCAACCTAAACGATCCTACGATTCTAAACACTATCTGGCTGTGCCCACACAGCTGCTTTCTTTTCCTCACAGAGCTGCATGTCAGCTGTCTGATCTAGGTTAGAAATAATGAGCTATAAAGGCTTATTGATAATAGTGCGAAGAGGATAAAGTTGCACTGATACCACATTAGCAAGTTGCTTCATAAATCATAGAATAATTTTCTACAGACAAGACCACTGGTACACATTAGATTGTCCTGTTCTGGAGATGGAACTGGGATCCTGTCATGGCTGAAACAGTCCTCAAGAAGCCTCAAGTAGAGGAAGCAGCATATACCTTAAGGCCTGCTAAATCACAAAATGTAGTTCTGGGCACCCTCTGTCAGAGATAAGCACGTGTTTACAATAATTCTGACCCAGAACTGCCCATGAAGAGTTAGCACTCGTTCAGAGAACGTTCAGAGTAAAATGCCCTCTACTCAGTGTGATTTAAAAATACTTTTGACTGTTTTCTACAGAAATTAAGCTTGTGCAATAAAGCTGCATGTACACATACATACATAGCTCTACATAGCTCTAAAACATGCTGACCAGCTTCATCCAAACTCGGGAAGTGGCAGTCATCTCCAAGATAACTACATGTGCAGAGGTCTCACAAAGAAACAAACTCTGCCACTGCCTTCTGCAGCAGAAAGATTTCAGCCCCATTAGACACTGGAGGACCTTCACAGCAGTAGCACATCATGGAGGTCTCAAACAAGCAGAGAGCTTCCACCAAATTTCACACCCTTTCAAACATCATGACAAAGCAAAACTCTAAAAAAAATCAGATGTCACTTATCCCATTGTCCATGGTACTGTTTGTTTTCCCTAGACAAGTTGAGGTCCAAATGCTATGGACTGCAAGCTTCTCTAACACATAGAAATACATACATGCATACATGTATAGATCCACAGACATACAGATATCCACAGACCCAACCCAAACAAATATGCATCCAGTCTTCTACCTCCTCTAAGCCACCTGTTTTCCAGCAATTGTTTTGCACCATCATCTCACAAGCTACACTGACCTTTCAGCCCCTTAATGGTGAAAATCTTTGCAAGCTTTGATAACACATTTTTGCTTTTAAGCAGATGCTAAAAAAAGCCATCTTCCAATTTGCACAATTCCATTGTTGTTTTGTTTTGGTGTTGTTTTTTTTTTTAAAGAACAGTTTTAAAATACATGCCACTGCACCTCACAGTTCCTTAGCAAAAGTTTCTCCCTTTCAAAAGCCTCTAAATCAATAATCATAGTTTCCATGTAATGTGGAACTCCTGCTCTCTGCTGGACACAACTTCATAGACTTCAAAGGATACCATCAACTAACAGAGCAGGAACCCAGCTCTGACTTTTCAATCAAAACTGCAAAATTAAGACCTTCATCCAAAATCTGAATTTAAAGGTTCAGGCCCAGATGTAGTTTTCAATTAACATTACAACTGAGAGCCATAGTTAGGCAGGTGCCAAATGAAAAATCAATTGATTTTACAGCTTGTTTCATGACTCTCCCTTCAACACAGACAAATAGCTGCAGCTCATTCAAGACTTCATGGGTTATTTCTGCACTCAGCAGCCTATCTGCAAGTTCCATGACTAATTCTTCAAAACAGTTTCAATAAACACAACTACCTTCTTTGAGTAAAATTGATTTGCTTTGCACTTCATTGTAGTTGGAAAACAATTGGCTTAAACAAGAGCCAACTTAAAGCAAACTGATATTCAGATATTGTCAATGCATGGGACCCTGGTAAATAGACACTGGAATCATACAAATGCAAAATCAGAGGCCTGCATTACTTATTTATGGAAACAGGAGATTTGATTGAACTAAGATAGAAAGAGATACACAGTATTATCATGCTGATGATGCTCACAAGATAAATGGGAATTGAAGTTAAGTAACTGTCCTACACTGGAGTCCCTGTTGTGTTCCTATCAAGTATCTTAACGTGGTCAGACCAGAGCACACATCCCTCTAACCAAATGGACAAACACAACTTCACTTTTGTTATGCTTTTTCCTAACTTCTGCTCCCTTTCATTCCTTTTGACCATCCTTTCTTAGAACTTAGTATCTGTACTCCATAGTGTTCCCATACAACTTTAGCTACCATTCCAATAAAAGAGGTCAACATATACAAGATGTGATTATGGATGGAGGAGGATCTAGTAAAGTCTCTAATCTAGCAGAAGCCATGCATACCGAATGTTCTGGCTTATATGGCTCTTTAAGGAAAGGACTGGTTTTGGGGGTTGTTTTTTTTTTTTTAATAATAAAAAAAACACAGGGGAGTCTCATCAGTGACTCGGGCTCTTTCACTAACTACAAAATAACAACCCACTTTTATATCTCCAAATCAGAAAAACAACTGAAGGTCTCAATTACTCAATCCCACTAATCAGTTACTGCTCACGTGCTTTGCACTTTGTACTTTTGTAATCACTACCTCCCCTTCTGGCAATTTTGTACAACTTTTATTTTCTGAAGTGGGGTATTGCCAGGGAGTTACTCTGTAAATATTATTTCTGGAAATGATATATCACTTGTGCATACGGTGATTAAAATATTCATAATTAACACCTCGTTACCTCCCCAGGTGTATATTGGCATGTCCACCTATAACCAGAGCCCAAAAAATTCAGCTGCTAAGCCATTCAGCTTAGCACTGTTCTTCCAGTGAAAGTCCTGCTAAATAAATACATTTAAGTAGTGGTAGCTATGGGTTTCCTAAACAAGCCATGGTTGAAAATGAAAACATATACCACATAAAGCCAGCTATGGTGTATCAAAGGCTTATTCATTTTACCTGAATACATAGTTGATGTACTGTTGGTCCAGATCACTGGGAGAGGAGGGAAAGAAAAAAAGGTCTTCTTTTAGTAATGCAGTTCGTTTGGTATAAAAGATCAGTATATTAAGTAGTATTATAACACTGTAATATTACATAATATTAGTATTATATAATACGTGACACAATGTTATAATTAGGTAATACTAACATTACATTATAATTATATACATTCGAACCACAACCTATTACTATTACAATATTATCAATACATTAATCAGCATATTAATTTACACATTATTTCTGTTGTTACTATGTCAGTGGGAGTCTCATTTAAAGTGAAGATAAAAGTGAGACTGACTAAAATTTAGACCCTTTAAACAGAGATGGAAAATAGTTTTGAAATAAATGGCCATACCCATATTCTATACACGCATGTATTATGTACATATACATAATATGCAGTGGCAACATATCCACCTCCATCCTTACAGACAACTGCATATTATGGACGCTGTGAACATGTAAGCCACCTGCTTTCAAAACAACTATTGTCTGGCTGAAGTTCTAACACGCACATGGGATTAGCGGAAGGTTTCAAGGTTTTTAAGGTACTCAGCCATTCCAGTCCTGTGGCAAGTCACCAGCTGCTAAACACTTCTGAGACTGTGTCGCAAAGGGAGATACTGACAGATTCAAACCATGCAGCTTTCAAGACTAACACAAACTAACATTTCCTCTTAATGCCTATGCCAGTAATTAGGGGTTCTGTTTCCAGGACTGAGTCATCACCCTTTGATAATACACTGTTTAAAACTAATTCAGTGTTTGAGTTAGCAGTATAACTATCAATAACCACATGCTATTGTTATCAACAATAAATAAGGCTTCCCTTGCAAGAAAAGTCATTAACGATTAAGCAAGAGTGGCCCAGCCCATGCTGATAATGTAGAGATCCCTAAAGTTTACCTGACTGCTACACAGAAGTGTCTCTAACCCTCTTTGATAGCAATCTCTTTCTTTTTAAAAGAATATGAAAACACATTACCTTAAAGAGCTAGGTTTCCATAACTTGTGAAATACTTTGTAAGCCCCTGTAATTGAAATGACATGTGTCATTGCCATAACCTGCAATCATTCTGACAAACAACGGCTTGTTTGGCCATGGTACCAGCAGACGTGGAACCCTTCTGAATTACAGTTTAGCAACATGGCACAAAGGACATCTAAACCATGAGTAAAATGAACCTATCACTTCAAATTAATGGTTTTCAAAAGTGTTATCATCTCAGAGTACTGTCATGCTATTTGTTTCTGCTACTCCTTCTGTAAAAGAGACAACTAGCTCACGGCTAGCTGCAAAGGAGTGTGTGTGAGTGTGTGTGTGTGTACACATGTGTGTGTAAATACGTAAAGAAAAGCATCTCAGAATGGGTTCTTCAGCCCACCCCATTTTCTGGGTAACTTCTATGATGTGTTCATCTATGTAGACCCCTACAGCTATTGGCTCTGAGCCATCTTTCCTGTTTAGAGTTCTCTCAGCTCTACGGCATCCAGGTTCTTTACATTCTTGACCTACCCACCTCTTGGTTAGCTCCCATTTCTATTCTGGGAAAAGCTTTAAGCACTCAAGGGAGGAACAATACAGCTTCAGGCTGTATTTTTTCAGACCCTTTCTTCAAGGCTTTGGGGTTTTTTTTGATTCACAAAGAAAACCAGAACATGAAAAGCAAATCCAGTAGAACACTATGTAATAGGAGTCCTCGATTCTGCCTCGTTAGACAAGCTGAAGGGTAGAACACATGTCCTTTCTCTAATGCTCTGTCTTGAATAACCCTGTGTTATGTTAGTTCATCTGTTTGTCCTTTCTTACAGCATCTTTATTCTGTGTCAGCTGATAAGAAATCTCATTACACAAAAAAAATCTCAACCGTTTGTATCAACAACTTTCTCTCAAAAACAAGAGAAATGGAAAGGAGCTATATTTTGAGCATAAACATTATGTTGGCACTTCCTACACGTTTCAAGCACACAGAAGAGGCCTCCTGAAGACTCTCTAAGCAGTTTTCCACCTCCATGGCCTAGCACTGCTTTACAAATGAGACCTCTTGGCTTTGAGAAAGCAATAACATCACTCATTACAGCAAACAAGTATTTGAAGTGAAAAATCCTTAGCTTTTTGTTTTATCTAAATGAGCAAATGTTTACCATATAACATTTCCTAAAGGAAAAAAAATAATTATACTATTTCTTATTTGTATGTTAACAACATTTTAGAATGCGATCTCTAGACCTCCCTAGACACAAATGCATATAAACACATTACCTCTGCCCTGAAAATTTTACAGTATGAATAGACAAAATAAAGAAGGAATCATGCTAATTTGCTGACAAGACTTAACACATGAATGAGTCACTCACTAAGTCTATAGGACAGCTAAGAACCAAATACAAGTCCCTTATTATCTAGCTTAATGTTCCAAAAGACACAATCTCCTAGTTAAAAATTACTACTCTTGTTTTCTTCAGATTTTCTGGGTCTAACTGTTTCTAGCTTTTCAGGAAAGAGTTACGATTTATCCAAATCAATGTTTAGTCTGAAAAAGACAAGAGAAAACCTGACAGGTTATGCAACTCATGGTTAAAATTTTTTAAAAATGCATATGACTGCATAAAAAACCCCACCATTTCTACATCATTCCTCTGGGAGCATATTCCATGATATTTTAGAATGTAATATTTTTTGTCAGTTTTTAAATAAAATCAGTGTGTGCAATAAAGCTCCAACTACAAGTTATTGCTTGGGGTTTTTTATGTTTCTTCTCCCCTCAGAAAGAAGTGTCTCTTAGTAGGCAACCGTCAGAAACTCCTAGAAAAGCTTAGTGTCAATTAAAATTGTATGTCCATTTTCTCATCCACTGTTAACTGACTGCAATATCTAGTTTATTCTGTTGTAGTTTTCAATGTAAAAGCTATAAAAGCAATGCACTTTCTTATATTTACTGAGCTTCTTCATTCTAAGTGTTTCTTAAATCAAGAACCTTAAATACCAGTAACTTCATAATAAAGCTGATTTCTCCAACACATTTACTCTTCCTAATTTTTTTTCCAAAAGAAAATTACTTACCAACACAGATCAAGTGAATTAGAGCCCATAAATAACCGTTTGGATCAAACTGCAATAAAGAACATCTACATAAATAAAAGCATGTTCATGTAAACATACGTATCACTATTTCCCTGAAGTTAGCTTCACAAAGCAAGTACAGCGAGTGGGAGCTATGCTACAAAGAAAGAGAAGACAGCTGAAGAAGACTAGGAAGACCGAAGTTTTTCCTGTCCCACTTAGAGACCTGGCATATGCCAGCTACCCAGGCTCTCAGCTAGTCTTGGCGAGAGTAGCTCTATTTCTTTCAGATATGTACACCATTTAAAACAATCTGAGCATATGGACCCCAGTCTGTTTAGTCTTGTATTGGCAGTCAGGGAGGGGCAAGAGGATCAGAGGAACATCACTAAGGTTTTTGTCTTGTCTCCTTTCCCCTCTCAGCCCCAGCAGCAGCTAAGCAGTCTCTCTCCCCAAGGCTCCAACTAACCACAGAGTATCCAAAAGAGTCCTTTAAACAGACATCTGTGTCTGAGCAAGGTAGGCTCTCTTCACAATCAATGGGGAAAAATAAACATTTTTGAGAGGAATTCACGTGGCACATTTTAGATGCCTGCTTTCAGGGGAGGTGAATTATACACCACAAGTTCCTGCTCTGCACAACGGACTATCAAGGGAGCCAGCACAGGTGGAACACTTCTGATGGCTACATTTAATCAGATGCATCCAGACAAGTTCACAGATTCATCCCACCTGACTTCAGATATTACCTAAAGTATCTAAAACAAGGAAGAGGCCTTCCTAAGTCTCCAAAAGAGAAAAGCACCTCCAAGGAATAGATCTTTGCTGGACTGAGCACTTTCTTGAGGTATCTCCTTTCTCCAGTAGCTACAGAAAGCGTGTCAAGTGATTATAAAGCTAATTTAGGAACTTCCTGAAAGTACATGCAGTTAATTCAAACCTAAGTGATTTGCTCTAAGCCCTGTAAGAAGTTAAACCGTGGTTTCTCCAGCCACCACCTTCACCAAAGAGCTGTATGTCCGCACTGCTCAGAGGTTTTACCATGAAGCACATGCATTAAAACCAGCAAGACTACAACACAGCAATAGGCAGCATTTACAATTCCTTCACAGGAATCCCACCCTAGCTTGCAAGTAAAAGCTGCATCCCTCATATGTCAACAAGGTGTCAAACATCAAGGTCTAACTAGAGCTGTTTTACAAAGCAGAGCTCACCTGTGTGTCACATAAAGGAAGGCACACTGCTGCTAGCAGGAGGAACAGCACACTGTGGAGAAGAGAAAAGAACCAAACAAGACCAAAAGCTCGTAAGCTGGATTTGTACTCTCAGCAAAGTATAGGCAATTCCACTCAATTTTACACTGATATTTCATTTGTTTAATTTTTATTCCATATTTTAAAAGTAATTTCTGCCACCAAAATTAAGTTTTACATCATACATTCTTTGTAAGTCATACACAGCGAAGTTGTATGAGAAGAGAAGCAGCACAAAATATCTCAGCAGTGATGAAAACAAGTTTTTTGGTAGGGAATATTATTCTTCACTTGCGATCTGGCTTCCCTAGGCTGCTTCAGAAAGCCAAAATCAATCAATTTCTGGCTTTGAATGGCTACCAAAAAGTCCTTTCATTAAGGTGAATTGCCTATTACAACAATTCCAGCAAAGGTGACTCCATTAAAAGTTATGGTGTAACTCCAGAACACACAGCAAAGTGGGAGTGAGTGGTATTACACTAAAAATGGCTTAAGGACAGCACAAGTCACCCCCTGGTCCACTGGCTTGGACTAAATAAATTCTTAACCTGTGGCTGAGTCAGTATTTCTACAGGCTACACTGAATACACTGATGTGGAATTTCTGTGGACAGAATTTCTGTCACTATTAATAATAACAAACATTTGCTTTTGCAGCTTACTTTCTCACTCTCTAGGGGCATAGGAAAAGACAGAATAAAGATGATAAAAAACCTGGTATCCTTGACAATAATTCAGTGGTGAAAATAAGGCCACAGTAAGTCAGATAATAGGAAAAAACAGGAAGAACTTAGGAAAATGGTGCCTCTAAGTACACTAAATAATAACCCAACATTACCTACTCTAAGTACAGCTAAAAGATTACAGAATGTGGAAGACAGCAAATATGTGTTCTTCAAGGTGATGGTGGGGAAGAATGAAACTTTTAACACATGACTGGCTGACTTCTGTTTGTCCCTTTCTATCTCCTTTTTGAAGCCTAAACAACTAGGGCCAACGAGGGCTGGTAGGTTGTGTAGCTTAATATGAACGATTCTAGCAGAACTGGATATCATTCACCTTTTCTTTCTTAGGAAAAGCATTTTTAGCTATTTTCTATCACATTAATTATCTTTCTCTTACTGTTTAAGATTAACCACTGGAACTTCAAACCTGATTTCTATCTCCTTTCCAAAAACATACTTACAAGCACTGCTTTGTTATTCAGAAGACTGGCCTTCTGGCTTTTTTATTTTTATACAGAGGAAAAAAATGTATCTATTCAAGCAACTGTTAAAAAAATAAAAGAAAATACATTTTAAAAATATTTAATTACTCCTATGTTGCAATTTAGGCTCACCGCCCACGGGAATGTGCCTTACATTCTTCATTGTTTTGGTGTGCCATTATCTGAACCAAATACAGAAGCTGGAGCCAAAACAAGTCTGAATCTGAATCTGAGCAGTTTTAAAAGCTTACCTACAGACTTTCAGATGAGAGGTCTGCTGTAAAAAAAGAATGATTAAAAAAATTTAAATTTAGAAATAAAAATGGTGAAATAGTGCTTTCCCCTTCCAAAAACAGGAAAGTGATGACAGCTGATCTTACTGCACCAAACACATTAAAAATCCAGTGAGCAACATTAAACAGCCCATTAGGTTTGAGCACTGCTTAGTAAATTTAGTTTGAAAAAAAGAACCAGGACTACAGATTAGCCTACTTCAACTTGATTTTTATTTTCAGATTACTCGCCAGCAGGTAAACCCAAAACCAGACACGAACTCTATACCTGGTCCTCAAACTTAGCTTGAACTATACCAAAACTATATTAAGTATTCTTAATTAATTAGGTACTACCCCAGCCAAAACAGTCTTGGTGTAAACTCATGAGCGTTTCCCAATCCTTTGGTCCAAAATTATTCTCCTGAAGCTTTCCAGCAAGACCTGTGTTTGCATTATCCTTGTCCATAGTGCTTTTGTTTTCAAAGAGAGGAGACATAAACGTGAGCTAGAAGGAAAATATGAAACACTTTGACAGGGACACTGATCAGAGGACAATACCACAGGGACATGCCATGGTACACACTGCTATGTCCCTTAGGCATAATCTCAGTGACCTCTTCAGTTTGTTAGGAGTAGCAAACATGGGCCATTTATTTGTCTTCTATATACACAACAGAGGTAGTGAATGGAAGATCCCTTGACAGCAAGCCAGGGGCCACTGCAGAAACGACTTTGTGATGAATGATTTCCCAGTGTTACCTCACACAGCAGCTCTCTGGTCAATTAGAAAAGCATTTCATAGCCTAAAAAGAAGGATCCCCAATGCAGTTTGTGAGAAACAAACCCAGCTCTTACTAAAGGGAGCAGGAATTACTCTCCTGACTTTAATAGGTCTTGGGACAGATTCTCAAGCATTCAAAACAAATTAAAAAATGCACTTTTTCCTGCATTTCATGTGGAGATGTGATCTGTCTATAATCATACAATACATCAAATACTAGATATATTATACTGGTTAGATCTAAGGACCCAGTCCTCCTCCCTCTCAGCTCAAACAATGAGATTCTTACGTGGGGCGTGAGAGAGAGGCGATATTAATTTTCAGAAGGAAAAAACAAGCAGGACCCAGCCAGTCTTAAAAATGCAGATAAAACTGTCGATACACAGTGTTTCATCAACTAAAGGGGAAAAGAGCAAAAGAAAACATCAATATAGGTACTTGTCAACAGCAAAGCTCTCTCTGGGTCTCATTAATGACTAGCTATCACAGCAAGACTAAAAAAGCACATGGCACTAATGCCCATATTAAAAGAAATTAGGTGTCTTGTTATAGGGCAATTATAGGGCAGAAGGTACCTTGAATGTATCAATTAACATATCGATTACCTCTTTCTGCACAAACTTCTGGAACCCACAGGTTATAACTTCTGCCGCGTTATGAACAGTGAGGAACACCGGGATTGGCTGCCATTGGGAGAGAACAAAAATGCCCAAATCAACCCCGAACAATGACATACATAGGAAGGGGCACTCATCTTAGGGACAGCTGTCCCACGTTTGTGGTTTGGTTTTGTTTTTTAAGCGTAAACCCATGCCACATCTCCTAAAAGGGACTTAGACCCATTCCAGTCACTATTACATGGCACAGGCATCTTTAATTGTAGACTCTGCTTGCTTCTTCTCCCACTTTTGAGTGCGCAGTCAGTTTATTTGTACACAGCTACCTCAGTGAGATTTACTCCAGGATTCTGCCTCTAGTTTTGCCTTTCTGTTCAAATATCTGCAGCCTTCACAATAAACAGTTCTCATTAGTTTTCCGATCTCTGTCTACTGGTACTAAGAATACAGTGTGACTCCTAGCAACAGCATTATAGGCAAGATGATTTTAGGTGATTGCTTTCAGTTACTGTTAGGAAGAGCTGCCCGAAATTAGGGTAGAAATGTAGAAGTTCATACACAAGTGATGTTGAAATTATACCCACTGAGGTATCTGGACACCATCCCAACATGAAATCATTAAGAAACAAACCCCAATGATAACAATAATGAATCAAACACCCATTGCCCCAGGCAAACCCAACCAGAATTAGTGGTTCATAGTACTTCCGCCAAATCAGATCCATGGTCTCTAAGACAGTTGAAACAGAAGCAATTCTCTGCTCCGATTAAGATAATCTAAAGACTAAGGCAGTTTTAGGAAGCAGTATTTCCCCACTTGTGTATACTATTTAAATCACATGAGTAGAGAATGAGTTAATTTCTCAGTGATGTCCATGCCTTTTAAATGTCAGGTGATATAAGCAGCAAATATCTCTTAAATTTTACTTTGTATTCAGAAATCTGTATTTTCTGGATTTTTCTTTTAATTCCCATAAAGCTGGATAAGCATCGCTAATTAAACATTTTAAGTCATAATGACAACTTGGGTGGATCCATAAACACAACAGTTACACCAAGATAACTTTTAACACCTCTAAATTAGCAAGGAATGAAAATCACACAAACACAACTGGCATGAAGTTGTCAGTCTCAGCCTCACCAATTCTGAAAACCAATTCTCAACCCTGTTCCTCGACAACTGAGAACATAAAACCGTAAGTATCTAACAAAAGCATCCTGAGCCTGACACAGTAATAGGAAATACAAGAAATAACTATACACAAGGAAAGTTGACAGCAGAATTTACATTCTTCCTTTTGTGAAGCCAATTTATTGGGTTTTTCTTTCCTCCCGCCTGCTTTTGGCTCTTCCAAATGTGTTTTGGAGCCAACAATGGCTCCAGTTTGCCTAGCCCAGTTAACCTTCTCCATATGTCTATTGTCTTTGATGTATTTCTTAAATTTGTGAGTGGGCTTAATGCTTACGAAAAGAAAGGTTTACTGGTTGGGCAGGCAGGGTGAATAGACTCTGTACAAACCTCCCCTCGCAGCTCTGCATACTTCTGTTAATGTATCACAGTCCAGAGCTAAGCAGTCCTCCTCCAGTTCCAGCCCTGAACTCCTGGGCAGGGGAGACTGCCAGCACCTCTAGAGTGAGGCACAAACAGATATTAAGATTGTAGCCCTGCCAGTATACAGGAGTGTTTGAAAATGGGTCTCCCTGGCTTTGATCAAAAAAGTGCATGTAATTTCTGCTTTAGGAATAAACCCAAATTCAAATACACTGCTGAGATAAGCCAATTCAGGCGCGAGTTTGGAAGAGTCCATTTTCCTTCTCACTGTGTCATAAAATTGTTGTACGCAAAGTTATTGTAAGTAAAGCTTCTATGTAGGATTGAATTTAGCCCCAGTACAAGGCATTACACAGTAACTATGGCCTAATGCTACTCGTCCTTTTGTCTTTCCTCCTAAAATGGCCACAGAATTAGGCCTCTAAATCCCCATTCATATACAACAAAAAGCCATTCAGAAATGGGAGATGCTCCTTAAGAAAGGTTTGGGATACAAATCAAAACCATTCACAGCCCCTCTACCACTCCAGTGCATCTCATTCTTGAAGGACCAGAGCAGGGACAGGAGGGAAACAAGGTAACTTACAGGACGACTAGGAAGTAAGAAGAAATAGCAAAGAGGATGTCTTTCATACCTAGTCCACCTCTCAGGTAAGCAGGCAGAAAACATGCTGCTGCCAAGGCTTTATTGCTGTTTCCAGACAGGCCTCTCCTTAGGGATCTTTGCTCAGTTTACACCAGGGAAGCCCAACAGAACTTGCTTTGACAAAGAACCAAGAGGAAGTAAATGCAATCACCCTGAGACAGAGCTAATCTGGAGGCATGGGGCTTCTGAGCACAGGCCTCTGCTTTGCAAAGGTCACTTGGGTCCAAGATGAGGCCCCCAGCCTTGTTTGTGAGAACAGAGACCTTCTGTCCTTTTCTGCCCTACCTCTCCACCGGGATGTTCAAGAGATCACTACAAGCAGAATCTTGTCAAAAATTCCCTTTTGATCCTTCTTGGGGTTTAGGAGCTGGCAGGAGCGAGCTGTCTCTGGAATTAGATTAAGATGCATTGACAAAATGCAGAAGGGAACTAGGGCAGAATCTGGCCTTGCAGACTGCATAACAGCAGTAAGACATTGCTGTTTTTTAAAAATTCATGTCACTCCCTTTTTTTTTTTTTTTTAATAACTGTATCATTTAAGTAAAAAGCATTCAACTTCAAGGAAAGCAGATTTGATATCCTCTAAACATTTGGTAGGTTACTGTGATTCAAATGGATGATAAAACTGATTAATCTAACCCTACCCATAATCTCTTTCCAACTTTCAATTTATTTTTTCAAATCCTGTAAAGCATCAAAAGCCTCTCACTGAAATGGTCTTCACCATTTTCCTGGAAGGATTTCCCACAGATTCCACAGCCCCATTCCCCCTTTTGCAAAGTTACAGCTAGTATCTGCTTCAGCTTCTTCCCTACTTGCACAACTCAGACCACTGAAGATCTGTTCTGCAAAACACTGAGTACTCTGGAGGGATGCTGAGTGCTTTGGACTGTCACAGAAGTGCTTTTTGATACTACTCTACACTTCATAGGATTGGACTGCTGCTCTAGCACCATTAACAATGTATGTATTATTTAAACCCCTCCTCCCTTCTTTCCCCCCAACCCAGGAACAGCATTAAACACCTTATATGAAGGGAACGTTCTTTGTTCATAAAGTAGAGGTAATAAAGAACTGACTTCTACTTGTGTGTTTCTTACCAATCTAGACAGTGCCCTAGAGCCAGCATAAATAATGCCAACAAACAGTACTGAAGCAGGAAGCCATGACAGGATTTCAGACCTGTGAAAACAATTAAAACCCCATTACTTCACCACATTCTGTTTACATACAGTCAGCAACAGTTGCCTGCAAGGAATATAATAACATGTATATATGTACATATATTTCAAAGGTGTGCATATTAAATTCATTGTTCAGTATTCCTTCCATGTAGTAAAGAAATCTGAGACAGAAATTAATCACTTCATCTGATCCCAGAGAGGAGATATCTGCAGATATATTTTCTTTCTTTTACTCTTTCCCTGGCTCCTCTCCCTGCAAAGTTGTTTGTTTCATAGCAATTACTCCTATTGGTTTTAAGGGAGAGAAATTTCAACTAATTTCCTTGATGCACTGTAAAAGGAAGAAAAACTGACAAATAAAGGCATAAAATGGTGTACTTGCACAGACAGCACACATTTTCACTATGTACAAATACACTTGCCCACCCACACATTCATTTCTCAGCCAGATTTACAAAGAGATTCTTCCTAAAGATCAGATTGTCTCTGTGGGAGCCTGTCTCTTGAGATTTCCTAATGATATTCCTTTGACTAAGCCAAACTCCTAGAGGCAGTTTGACAACTAATGGAGGAATGAAATCATCACAGATTGATCTGATATTTTTTTAGCTATGGTTATTGCAGTAGGGTCAGGTTTCAATTCTGAGAAGGGGCTTCAGAATTCACACTTTTCCTTTTTGATCTTGGTACTTAAGGGGAAAAAGGGATCGGTAGGTGGTAAATTTCAGAGACAATAACGTAACATTTTGAGCAAGGGAAGAAAGGAGCAGCAGTGATCTAAAGGCCTGATCCAAAGGCTTCCCAGGACTGAAGACACTGCTACCCCCATTCACTCTTCCCAAGCTTTGAACTAAATTCAAGAAAATGTCAGTGAATAATGCTGGTTCTCAAAATGAAACCAAACTGCTTGTAGTTCCTTAATTTGGATTACACTTCCAACTAGTATGTAAGAGTTAAAAGATAATTATAGGTACCGCTACACTACCATATTTGATGGAACACAAGAAAAACAGACCTCTAAATGATGAAATCAGAACAGCCTTAAAACATGCTTAAAGATTCATGTAAACACAGACAAGGAAAAAACCCTAAACATCATGTTTCTTTTTTTTTTTTAATACATAATTTCCTAAGATACTTGATCAAAAACCCAGGGTAATGAAAATAGAAAAATCTTTAGATCTTTTCACTGGCATAAATATTTGCTCTGGTTTTTGGGGGTAGTCACCACCATTTTTTATAAAAACACTGTTCCTTTTAAGGTTATTGACTTCAACTGGAATTTTACCAAGACCAGGATCTAAAACTGTCATACCTCATTACCAACAAGTTCACATCAGACACCAACAAAAATACCCCCACCCTATTGGAACTGCCACAAATGGAAGAAAGGGGGAGGAAATAAAAGAAAGGAGGGCTGGAAAGATCAAAGGAACACATGATGGAAACTGAATTTTCATTTAGAACATAACACTCTTTCATGTTCCCCACCACTAAATTCTAGGAATCCCAAATATATCTTCACCTCCAATGCAATACTGTGAAGTACAATGGAAAAGGACTTCAGATGCTTTTTCCATGATGTAAGGGTAGAATTTTATGCTGCCAAGTGGGAATATCAGGACTGAAAAAGAATGCATGGATATTTGATGTAACATGTCAGCACCAACAATCTGTCTTGAACCAATTAGTAGCTTCTTATGTTGGCAATACAGTGATATACATGCAAACCTGGAAAGCTCAGTGACATAAAAGAACTGATGAGCTTGTGGTTGTAAGGCTAGTTCCAAAGCCCACTCAAGTCAATGGGTAGCTTCCCCTAAACCACACTTTGGAGCTTTGGTTTAAGCAAGGCTCTGAGCTGCTGCTTAGCTGCGGGGAAAATTCAGCACTACAAGAAATGCCAACTAGAACACAGAGGACTTATGTGCCTACAGAGGTTAGGCAGAAGCTGGGTGGCAGATCACAGCACTGGAAGCATTATGCATGTGCTACACATATTCCTCTGCACTCCACAGGGCCCTTGCTTTGGATACAGATTTTGCAAACAGTCACCATTCACCCTTTAGAAGCAACGATGGTGGTGACAGAGTCCCTTACAGCTGGGAATACTGGGGGGAAGCAGATGAAAAGCAGGATATCCCCAAAAATCTAAGACAAATTACTCTAAGAAATACATTTTTATTTGGTCTTCATTGTGGAGCTAGTACTCCTGACTTTAGACAAAGGGTGATGATCTCTATGTAATAAAATTATTTTACTGAGACACTTTGGGATAACCTGAACTGGCTCAGAAAGCATATAAGATCAGTCCACATGACAGAAATACTGAAACTTTGTGGAAATAAACAAACAAATTAGTAGCAGTTTATTATTTGAAGCATGACAAGACTGGGGACTGGATGTGGTATTCTTAAGTATCCTACACATACACCAAAAAAACCCCCAAACAAGCCCAGATAGATTCAGAGACCAATATTCTGTAAGAGGGAGGGAAATGTCTTCACCTTTGGAGGGGGAAAGAGCTTGAGAGGAAGTGGTAGACAGAAGCTTTGAGACATTATGTTTGTTTGTTGGGGAGTTGGTTGGTTGGTTGGGCCAGGGGGGTGTTTGGTGGTTGGCTGTTTTTTAATATAGGAGATACATGCTACAAGTCCAGCTCAGCAAAGCATTAAAGCATGTGCCTAATTCTTCTGAAGAAAGACAGATTTAAACTCATGCTTAGGTGGTTGGTTGAATTATAGCCAAAACATGTAAATTAATTCTGGTAATTTCATTAGGTCTATTCTAGAAAAGGCATTTTGCATTAGCTAAACTAATAAAGAGGTTTCTGAAGATATAATCACTTTTCCTATCGTGTGCTGACATCTAGTGGCCTGAAGTCAAAACACGAACTAATTTTTCACCAAAACTTTTTTCAGATAAAAACATCCTCTTCAACAACAGAAAATGGTTCTTGTTCAGTATTTTCTTTAATGTCGTCCAAGTTTTGAAAAAACGAAAATATCTTTTCCAGGCTGGAAAAAAAGATTCAACTTTTTTAATTTCATGATTTAAAGCAAAAGTAATCATCTAGTGACAAAAAGTTGAACTAAAAAGGACATTACTGATGGCTGTATTCCTTTGTCCTTTAGATTCTTCTGTGAAGACAAAATCTGCATAAACAATATACATTTGATAATAATATCAGTAACTGCCGCTAAAGGAAGGTTTGGACCCTAATCCTGCCTCTACCAATATCATTGACAGCTTTTAAACCAATATCTTCATTTTATCTACACTGCAGATAAAAGACAGGAAGTTAAATTCTGTTTCCATTTACAATTTGACTTAAGTTTCAGTGGTGATGTAGTCACTTGCATGGACATTAAAATAGAACTTAGCCTGGTTCTTCTGACATACATGCAGGATTTCATTCCAAATGAGGAGATTCAGTTTAGCAAGTCAACTGTTGGAATCCTAAACAGAAAATTCATCAGCTGTCACTTGCTAATACAGAATCACTGAAAAAAGTTACAGTAGAAGGGAACTCTGGCAATCATCTAGTCCAATCCTCCCCAGCTTCAGAGTTAAGTCACATTACTCAGGTCATTGTCCAGTAAGGTTCTGAATACCTCCAGCGATGGAGGTTCAACAATTGCTGTGGGCACATATCTTCTAAATTATAACATTTTGCAAAATAAAAGATATGCTACATTCCATAGCACAGAATGGATCCACCTGAGCACAGTACAGTATGCTGGATGACTCTTCTGAGTTGCCGTCACACTCAGTTCAAGCAGATGACCTTTGTCTACAAAGCACTTTTTAATTTGGAGTCTGATTATTATACCAATCCTGTACTGCAATGGCTGCTCTTGCTGTGCAGTTATAAATGCTACAGTTAGACAAGGGTGGATGAGTCTCATTTATGGGACACACTTCTTAGAGAAAAAGGCAGATCACATTTGTGGACTTCACTGCACTGAGGTTTTGGGGAAGGGTATGTCAGTGCTCTTAACTAACGTTACCAAGGTTTCTCTTGTAATACTATAAAATAATCCAGGGAAGAGATGTGGTCAGATGGTTGGATAAATTATCCTTATAGTTTTCACTAGAGGCTATGCTTTTTTGATTGTCTTACCAAGGTTAAATTGAATCCACTTTGTATTAGTAATCAGTTGAAGTCCGTGTCATTAAACATTCATTAGACTAAAACACAAGATCTCTCCCCAACCTGTGGAGCAGAACACATACACACCCCCCCCACTACTTATATTTTCGCAAGTTAGTTACTTCCACAACCAACTTAACTATGCCATAACCCAGCTACAGAAAATAAGTATTTAGCAAATACTGAAAACCTCACAGTACCTTGAACACAAATTTATCTCTACCCAGCCCAGCTTCCAGGAGACATGAAGCAGAAGTCCACCCACTAATGTCTGCCACCTGAAATAGAAACAAAACAGCATCTCTGAATCGTTTGTCCTTTTTAACCATGTGGACCATGACCTTAGAATCCACAGAATTTCTCACAGCACACCCATGACTCTAGTTATCTACCATTTCCCTAGGTTTCCAGGGATGCCACTATTCCTCTTCAAATCTTTCATTTTTGTCAGCCTTCATTTCCTCCACACTTTCTAGTACTCCGGTTCTTCCACCTCTTGTTTCAAATGTTTTGTAAATTACCATCTACCACAATTACCTTAGTCACATTACAGAATCCCCATTTTATCATCTCTTCCCACACAAGGTTTACAATAATAATAGTGATGTTACAGCCATGATGATCTGAAGATGCAAGTGAGGCAGGGTTTGTGACAAGAGATGAGTATCTTTTCATATATAAACTGTTATTGTTAGAACAAATAAACATGATTTCAGGATTCAAAGACTCGCTTCGGCTGAAGTAATAAGCCCTTAGGATAACGTATGTAGTCCTAGTAGTTTCAAACATCAGCTCTATGACTTCCCATGGTTATTCACATTAGGCTTAGATGACAAACTCCCTCGAATTCAGACTGTCTTCCCCCCCCCGCTACATTTTGTGTAGCAAGCGCGAAGTGAAGTGTCATCAACAATAACATCATTATGCTGCATGAGGCTCTGATTCAGAGCCTCTAGAGAAAACACCTTTACAGCCAGATAACCTTTCATATAAAGCACAATACTGTGGTTTTCTCATTAAAAAGGTATATAAAAATTACATACATTCTGCACTGACGTACCTATCTAATGACTTATCTTACCACAAAGGTGTTCCTCAGTCTATTATGGAAATAGTATGTAAGGCCTTAGAAATGCTTGCAGGTAACTTAAAATGAGTAGTGATGCACACTGATATTTTTTTTTTTTAAAGCTTTAAAAAAGTTATTAGCTTCCTTATTCCTTAAGCTAGTGGTTTTCAGAGAAGTGTTTCATGTTTCTTGGGTGAAAATCCTTGAACATCTAGCATAGTTCAGAGATACTGTATTACAGTGTTAAATCACATTAACATCTGTAACAGGTATAGAAGTGGTTTTATTTATTATTCCCATTCATTGCAATGCATTTAAGGAATTATTTAAAATCTCTCACACATATGCAAATAAACATTCACTCTATGCAGTATTACATACAGTTGGACAGTGTCAGAGAAGACCAAGCTCATTGTCCACATGGGTATGACAAATACTCAGTGCTACTACCACAGCTCACTTAATCTTTTTTAGATGAGGGGGATGCAAGAGCTTAAAAGCCAGGTATCCCTGATATTTGCTGCAGGCTTGACTGTGCTCTATTCCAAGCCAGTGATGAATTCCCATCAACTTTATTGGGAAGAATTTCCTCTTGTCTCAGGTTTTAAGGACAGAAGTTGAAGTTACTAACAGTTCCAGATGCTTAGCACTATGCAATATAGTCTTAGATTATATAGGGAACAAAAACAATGACAACGAACAATAACAGCATGAACTGAGAATAACATTCTTTTCCTCCTTTGCTCATCTGTCATACCTCTAAATGAAAGTGCATCCGAGCCACTTAATAATTTTCAAGGAAAGGTCACTTTTAAAATCCAGAACTTATGGAAAAATATTAAGATGCTGAGATGCATTTCCAAATTATAGAAAAAGGAAATAACTGTGGTAACACAGATACCATAAGGCAGTTGCCTGCTGTTGAAATACGCTTTTTTACTGTTGATTTACCACACTTGTATTTCACATACATTACCCAAAACCCTTTCCCCATACGATAAAAGCCTTGTCCAAGAGACAGTCTGTGTGTGTGTTGCATATTTAATAGAACCAAGTACGCTCAAAGAAAATGGAGATTCCCAAGGCAATTATTCCTAGAGTTGGTCACAATCCTGAGGCTGCAAATCAGGCAAGAATATAAGCCATGCTAAGCAGCAGTAGAGGAATTAAAGACATCCAGCGTCTGCAGATTTTACCATTACCTCAAAAGAACAAATGCGGGAAGTTTTAACTCACAGAGGCCAGATTTTCACTAAATGTCTCACAAATTATTAACAGCACTGATGGTATATATGGACGCTTGACAAAACATTAGATTTCTCATTACAATCATTAAGATATAATAGTGATTTGTGATGCAGAGTTACAACAAAGGCTAAGCATGAAAATAAGCAACATGGTATTTGTGTATGCCTAAAGATGGGTTTAAGGTTGGTTTTCATTAGCATAGTGAAAGAATACATCACAACAGCACATTACCCATGACTGCCATTTCCAAAGAAGACAGGCTGTACTATAATTGCTACCTTCCTATGCTGAAGTGTAAGACTTTCAGAAAAATGAGAAATTATGGAGTCTATATATCTTAATTACATCACCACCATGATAATTGAAAACCAAGACACATTAATGAATGCTTTACTAAGGCTTCATGAAGTATGTTCTCTAGAAAGCAAAAGCCAGTAATGACAAGAGGTACTAAAGTTAGCTTCAGCACGGAATAGCAAGATGTTTACTGATTAAAGTCATTTTTCAAACAACTGTATTCTTAAAACGGTACTTACCCTTGAAAAAGGGTAGGGTAGGTAAATTTCAGGACAGACAGGACATACTGGAAAACAAACACCAAATTAATGGACATCAAACACCTACAGCTTACAACATTAACAAACAATCACAAGAGCAACAAAACACAAAAAGTTTCTACCAAAATGAAGAAAAATAAAAAGAAAAAAAACTTTGGTAATTTCTCTTCCCACACCAGAATGCTGTCCCAGTCACTGCGGAAGGTAGCAGATGCTGAAGTACATGAAGTATGGAGCGGACACAGTGAACGATGGAGAGAAGGCCACCTTCTGAATTGCTCTTTCACTTTCTGAGCACACTACATGCATCACACCGAATGGGAAAAGGATTAACAGGAACAAAAAGACACCAGCACTTGTCAATTAAAATCATATCATACCCCAGGGGCAACCTTTGGCACAACCAAGACCAATAATCTTAACATAATTGTCTTCTGATTAATTCATCTTAGAGACCTAACTTTCTGTTTATACACCATTATGTGTAAAATATTAAGTAGTCCATAAAGCCCTTTGGAGATGTAATGTACAGGGTAAAAAAGCGAAGCGCCTGCATCATTGCTTTAGCATGCTTTGTCAGAGTCTGCACATATGGATGCTAGTGTCTTTTCCCACTATATATGTATATATGCAAATATGAGGCAGAAATACATATGCCTTTCGATACATATATCAGGATCTAACAACTTCCCATAATTAAGTCTATAAACACTATTTCTGCAAAGGAGAAGTATGACTGAAGCTTCCTCAGAGGAAAGGAAAGGTATCTGCCATTCCTTCCAGGAGCCAGCAGAAGCTGTCGATGGAAAAAGGAGAAGCTGAAAGCTTTCAACAGAGAGAGGAAACTGTGCTGAGCACTTTGCAAGGTCCAGTTTTTAGGTGGGGGGGAGGGGGGGGGTGTCGCTAAGAAGCTGGCATCAATATACAGAGACAAGGCTTGTTGATTCACAGTGGGTCATGTTACACATACCTGTGTCAGAACAGCCACACAGGTTTTAAATCAGGATGATTTACCTGCACATGTCCATACCCCCTCTTGCATTTACATACCACCTGCAACAACTGGAAGGTCTATATTCTGGTTATTTTTAACTTTATTACACTAAAACCTACATTCAGATTTGAAAATGGAGACCCTATGTCAAAGTCCTTCCAACTTCTTCTCAAGTATAGTGAAGCCAAGAACCTTTCACAATGCATAAAGCAATCTGGCAGCTCTTCTAGCCCCTTTCTGTTTTATTAATCACTGCTCCTAGCAGTCTGTCAAATCAAGTATATTCTCTCTCCCTACGCACTTTGCTTCACATCTGGACTTCAGTCTACTTCTGGTCATCCTTAAAGGCAAGTGTACCTTGGAACAGAAACCAGTGGCCAACGCTGAGAAGAGATTTAATTTTCACCTCTGAAATGCTGCTTTCCTCTAATACCCCCCCCCCCCCAGGATCTCCATACCCTGATTGCTTCAAAAACATCTTTTCTTTCAGAAACCTGCACCAGAAACACAGACACACTCCCTGATAAATAGGGCAGCAAGGAGTGATTACTCTATCTCTTCCTCCGAGAGTGAAAAAACTACTTCAAACTACATTTAAACTATAGAATTTTATTCACAACTTAGCCATCTTCAGCCTACTTCTGCTTAGGCATTTCAGCAATACCAACAGGTGATTAAGTTGAACAGTGGAAAACAGACTTCTTGTCCTCAATTTGCAGGTTAATTAAACTGTCAAAGTTAACAACTGGGAGTTAATGTTTGTTTCACTACTGCTGTAAGACTTTGAATATATCACATTTTTCCCTTGGATACTTGGTATTATTGTTCCAGTTAACAGATCTTCTTTTGGGAATGACTGTGCATTCAGTGGTTGCTAGGTACCCAATAATGAAATATATTCAGCATCACTGATGCTTTCAAAGCAGCCTAATTTCTGCCTCTATAACTAACATTTCATTCACTTGAATAACGTAATGTCAGCCCTTTACTCTCCTCAATCTGCCAGTACTGAAACGCGTTATGTCGTGGCAAGGTAACGATGTCACACACTGACTAAAACGAGACCGGTGGAAGACAGCTGCATTCTCAATTTCCAGGGCACGCTGGAGGAGGGCGGCGGTGGGCCTTTGGGCTGAAACGCGGGGGGGTGGGGGGTGTCGCTCGTGGGGTAGCCCTCCTCCGGGAGGAGCTGACCCGGCGGCTCTCCCTCAGCAGGGCAAGGCAAGCAGAGGGCACCGTCCCTCCTCCTCCACCTTCTCCTGGGTCCCTCCGCACTTACCTCGCCCTCTCAGGCGCGGCTCCTGCCACAGCGGATCAACTGCCCAGCGCCCCCGCATTTCCCTCCGCCTCGCCCGGCCCCGGCCCC